AATCTGGCGTCCAAATGGTTGAAACCTACTTCGTTGGGCTGGTTCAGAGCTGGAATTCGTGTAGGTTTTGGTACTCTTTTGAATTTTTTCCCTTGCATCTTTGCTTCCAGTCTTGATCGAAGGGTGGCCACTGACGTGTAACCACATCGAACGGATTTTCTGGAACAAATCAGTGGTTTCCATGAAATGTGTTTAATGTCAATGAAGAGAAAGCGCTTACGCTGATTCGGCTTTACTTCCATCACCATCGGTCAACTCCGTGAATAGTCCGCTATTTGTAGAATCTGAGACACAAGCGCGCGCCTGCACCATATTCGCGCTCTTCTTAATCTCCCGGTGAAGCCATTGATAGGAAGAATCGCAAACTGTTGGGTCAAATGTATCGTATTGGGACTAAAAAAAGGCTATTTCAGTCTTAATAAGTTGAGCTAGGAATGTCTATGTGAGGACTACCCACATTTTCGTCCTGCGTGATAACAATCGTTGGAAGAGGCTTTTTTGTAGAAGGGCTAGAGCGCTGATGTGTTTCGATCACAGTGGTTGGCTCGCTGTCCTCTGGCATATCAACTGTGACCTCGCTGTTATTCTCCAGTGGTTCAATAACACCTTCAGCATCGATGCAGGTTTTAATGCTTGCTGCTGAATCTTGGACATCAGGAGATTTCGAAGTAGAGAGGTCCGTATAAGACTTCTTTTTTACTGCAAGGGCTAGATGAAGTGCATAACCATAAGAACAGAACAAAGCTTTCGGGTGATTGCGATGGACTTCTGAGGGATATGTTTATTTGGGAGAATCGCTGGTTGGTGATATATGGCAGAACAATGTCATGCGCTGGTGGAACACCTTATTCGACAGAAATACTTGTGCAACCCCCTCTTCTTTGCCGACCTGCCCATCTTAACATCTACCCGGTTTTCAATTAAGAAAACTTGCCATCTTGGCTTTTGACCACTTCTGACGCTACCCCTCTTTCTCCTCTCATATCATTTCGTTCCCTCTTTAGCTAGCCACGGCTGCCAACTGCATAGTCCACTGTTAGGTAATTCAAGACTTTTCACTCTTTTGACCATTCGACTTTGCTTAGCAGTACTAAAACCAGAACAAGGTCTTTGGAGTTTTGGTTACGACCCAATAATACCACATTTCAACGATTTTCGAGAAGGACCTATATTAAAGAAACCAACGTTCATCAGTAGAGGCACCGGCTTCTTCCAAATTTTTTAGGGTTTTATCCAGTCGTTGCATTGCCAGTGGAGGACCTCGGTGAATTCCAATGAAATGCAGTCGAGTCCGCAGCAGACCATCATGAGCTGTTGCGATCGCTGTTCTCCATGCGGGGATCTCTTCATTGAACATGATCATAGAAACAGAACCATACTTGAACTTCAGCTTCAGGGTGCATCGACGCTGAAAACGACTATAAGTAGTCGAGGCAAGGTGGAAATAGCTAACTCTTCAATTTTTGGTTCCAATATGACTTCCATCAACTATCAGCCACCGTAGAAATTAATCGTGTTGTCCTCGAGGTGGGGCTTCGAGATGTTCAGCTGGATGGGTAGAGGTCTAGAGCCAGAATAATCACGGAACGTGTGCTCACAATACGTTCACTTTACGAGCAGAAACAGAATCCGAAATTGCATATGCTCTAGTCGATGGGCAGTTTTATGCTTATAGTTAGGTGTTCACGAGCTTCACGAGCGTATATTCTATACTATACTCCTCTATATAATCCGTATAAGTCTGTTGGTTTGCAGGTTTCATATTCATAAGACATACGGGTGGCGGGTATACACTGATGATAGATGGGAGGAAGTGGTAACAGTCGCTAGGGACTGTTAACATGAAGGGAGAAGAGCTACAGGATCCTTACGTCCTTGTGTCAACAGTGGAACTCTGGCTTCCTAGAAGGTGATATGGTGTAAAACTACGGTAAAGCTTGGTGAGAACGACTGATTGTGACTGATAAGAGCTGATAAGAAACCATAGAATGCAAGAGTCGCTGAGTCTTGAATTCTTTCGTATTGATACTGGGACCTTGGCAGTCCTATGAGTGAGGTCGATAGTTATGATATCGTAGACCGCGGCTCTCTTGCAATGGTGAAGACTATTGAAATGATTTCTGTCGCTGCCATGTAATCGGGATTGGCATTCATATGATACATCCTTTCACCCATACATAACCGTATTACTATCGAAGTGTCAGTGCCCCGCTATTGTTCCTATGTCCCCATCTCATGCCCTTCAAGTTGTTATCATTTCCTATTATCAACAGTCTGTGATCATCATTCATTGAAGATCAAGGTTCTAAATTTGATGCGCAAAGCTAGGCTGTTCCGTCCTTGCCTTTTTTGGCTACTAGTCACCCCCATTCTGCTGTCTTCACTTGCCGATACTTGCCGTCAGCGTGTTCGCATAGAATCACTCCGAGTGGATAGGGCATGGCATTACACTCTTCTGGAGAGGAGTAATCGCGGTCGTTGCCTCACGATAGACTGGGGATTATTGCATCACGATAGGTTGATAACACAGCAGTTAACTGTCGATGTCTCTTACTGCTCCATGTCTCCGTTAAGTCATGCGCCCATGACAGTGAGAAAATTTGGCTATCTTACCGTCTTGTGAAAGCGTTTGTTCCCTATAGACCTTAGAAAGTTGTGAGTGTTATCACAATTCTAACACCAGGTCCAGTTAATTTCGATCATTCTGAGCTCTATGAGCGGTGGATCTCTACCGCTACATTCCTTATCACAATCTTTAACCTACTGATGGACGCATTTTGTGAGGGAAATCGCAAACGACCACGTTGGAGTCGGTGGTGCAAGGGAGTTTTCGGTTGTTTTATGCTTATCAATATGCAGCCGCATTCTATCCATGCTTCTTACCTTTTACAGCCAGAAACAGACAAGACCTACGTATGACTGCTGTTTTGTACGGAAGTGGTCAGTTTTTGTCGTCATCACTTTGGCATCTTTCACGTCCACGACGTATCCTTGAATGATACCAATCCTTATTACGGTCCACTCCTAAATTTGGTATCTTACCTTTATCTTCTTTATTGTAAATGATAAGCAATCCGCTTCGA